TACATCAATTTTCTTTCTAGAAAAAGTAAGAAGTTTATCAAGTTCATAAATTCTTTATAAACTTACTTTTTAAGTTTACATTCGAAGATGGACTTATTACTCGATTCATATTTGTTTCACAATTAGATATATTATCTATAACAATAAAAACCTTAATCTTTAGAAGTCTATTGTGTTTTTCTTTTTATTCACACAATTTGATTCTTTGTTCTGATCATATAGAATGAATCCAAAAGTTTTGAATCCATAAGTCCATAATATACCTATTTTCTATGTATAGTTCAGAAAGATATCAACAGCTGTCATTAGTTGTTGACTGTGTTTCATCAAAAGATATTTTTAAAAAATTCTTATTGAGTTTAAACGAAAAAATATAGCCTCATGCCGTTATTGAATAATAAACATGTAAAATGAAGACGACTTGAATATATGTTTAATAAACAACATAGCGCTCATCCTACAGATTCGCTGACCAAAACTGGAACCGGACCGGTACAAACCGGAAATTCACCGGTTGAAATTTAAAAATATTATCATTTTGCTCTCTCTTTTTGTCATAAAAATATTTTATGAGTTTTACTATCAAGTATATGAAATCATGCGCTATCAATATATATCTACAGAAAGCCTTTCGAAATTGTTGGCAACGCAAAAGTTTGTTCAGTATAGAATGAATATTGGTTGTAATCATAAACGTACCAGCATGGAATAATGTTTTTTTTCAGACGCAAGGAAAATCAACGAACGTATGAAGATAAATCACTTTGATCGATCATAACCTCTCCTGGAAGGGAATGGTTTAAATCTATGGGCTTATATTCAAGTATAAGTTTATAAATTAATGTTTCTTGTATAGTTCTCTATTCCCCAAAATCGAAACAAAGAATAACAAGTGTTTTACATGCACGATAATGATTAATAATTTGTACAAGATAAAAACGTTTATCACGATTATTTCGAACAACATCTAATATATTGATTGAAAAATTGTTTTAAACGTGCCATACGATCACATGATATTCATTCAAGATAAGTTTCATTAATACTATTATAGATTTGTTCAAAATTATTTTTTTTTTGAATTGAATAAAAAAAATATAATGGTGATGTGATTGATGTTATTCTACATGAACCAATATTATCAATTAAAATTAAATTAATTACTGGAATATTACTTGAATGAGATACTCTGCCGGATAAAACTTTAGCCTAGAAAAAAATAAAGTATGAAGATTTTTTCTTTCCCATAAAGAGATGGAATCAATCTTGGCCAGGAAAACTCAATTTGTCAAATCTTTTCTACACATAACCAAGGGAAATTTTCAAAAAAAAGGCTCTGTCAAACGAAAAAATGACTTAATGGTCCGAATGAAGTTCCGCAGAGGATTTTGAGTTGTCAAATGAGGAAAAAGGATCTAAAATAGCATATATGACAACTAGTGTCCTGTCCGAGTACGACTTTTCGCATCCGAATCCGAATAACAGTATCTGACACTCGATCAGAAGTAATTGACATCCAACAGGAGCTTTCATAATCATACTATGCTTTTCAAACTTTTGTTTCATATGACAAAATATACTATTATTTTAACCACATCAACAAACAACAATAAAAGAATCTTCTAAAATTTCGCTAAAAAAAAACAAGTGATTTAGTTGTTAATGTCACTAATTATCAGGCCAGGTTGGGTACCGGATACTGGACTTGATTGCAGGACACTAATGGCAACCTAAAATTGTCCGTGAGACTTCATTAAAGGCATTTAGTTTTTTTTTGTTGTTTGAAAGAGCGTGTTCAGTTGCAAAGCATGATACGGCCTTTTTGAAAATTCTTCCTTGTTATGTGGAGAATAAGAGTGACAAATTGAATTTTCCTGACAAAATCAAACAGGATTGAAAACAACATATACAAAGGAATAGTTCAAATGCTACACCTATTATTGGCTGATTTTAATGTCCTATGATGTATTTTAATGTGTTAAATGACTAAATCTATTTTTTATGTACTCGTTCACATTGCTATTATTAGGAAAATTCAATTTTCAACTATGAAATGTTCAACTATATCCTAATTGAATTAACTCATTATCTTGTTTCATGACGTTTGAAACATTTCTTGGTTATCGTTGAGGTAAAGGACGATTTGTTACTTGTTGTAGAACTATCAAATAAAATACATACAATTATTTTTCTTTATATAATTTAAAATATTATTTTAACAAACTTTATTTTGGTAAATTGTAAGTAGCATAATCATTAAGATCAAGACGAG